ACATAGGCAGACCACAAGCTGCCATACTTGTAGTTTATTTGGAGCTGGATTCAAATGCACAAGCCACAAAGAAAATATTTTGGGGATAATCAGTGACTTTTGAATAGAACAGGGTATTGGTTGAAATCCAGGGATTATTGTTGTTGTTTTTTTAAATGAATTAATTATTTTTTTTGAAAGAGAGAGCGAGCGTGAGCAGGGGACAGGCAGAGAGAGAGAGAGAGAGAGAGAGAGAGAATCCCAAGCAGGATCCAGACTCAGCACAGAGCCGGACACAGGGCTCGATCCCAAAACCCAGGGATCTGAGCAGAAATCAAGAGTCAGATGCTCAATGACTGAGCCACCCAGGCGTCCCCAGGGATTATTGTTAATTTTTTATAAGGTGTCACCAAAGTATTGTGGTGATGCTTTTTTTTTTTTTTTTAAATGAGCCTTCATCTTTTATCTGGCAGGTAGGGGAATAGAGGGGAATAGAGTGGGTTGGTTACAGGTGATGCAAAATGGGCTCCCCACATGGACCACTGTTGGAATTGTGTGATGGGTATCCTGTGGAGGTCTTCATATCCCTCATTAGTTAGTATTCATTCTACTTTGGTGTATATATAAAATTTTTCACAGTAAATAAAAAATAAGTACTAGTAGGTCGGCTCCACATGAATGTCCCAGGAGGAGCAGAGACAGATGGGAGCAGGGGTGGGCAAGGAAGACTTACCTTTCAGATAAGACAAATTTTCCATCTTTGAGGCTGGGTACCTTCTTCAGGGGGTTGATCTTTATGTATTCCTTGCTGTGGTGGTGACCTGGGAGGGGTAGGAAAGGTCTGAGGGTGCTGGGACTCTAGGAAAGAGAGGCCCAGGTTCCCAGAGGCACATGCCTTTCTCCCCCTTTTTCTCTAGAAGGAGAAACAAGCCCAGAGGAACACCATCCATGGCTCACTTCAGGTCAAAGGGCAAGTCAGTGGCAGAATCGGGATTAGGATCAAGACTCCTGCCCCCATCCCAGGCTCAGTGACCAGGACAACCCGTTGGCTTACAGAAGTTGGAGGCCTCCAGCTCCCACTCCCAACTCGGCCTGAAGCCATAGCCTGTGAATCAGCAGCAGCCCTAGAAGCCTGGATCCCACCCCCACTCCTTCAGCCCCAGCCCCCGCACACAGCTGGAATCCAAAAGGGAGCCTCTCATATACAACCAATCTATCAGAAGACTTGTTTTGTTGTGGTGGGTTTTGTTTTGTTTTGTTGTTCAGTAAGCTCTCCGCTGCACAAGGGCTTGAACTCATGACCAGCCCCAGAGATCAAGAGTCCACAAATTCTAGCAACTGAGCCAACCAGGCACCCTGATCTATTGGGAGTTTTAACTCTTCCTCAACCAGTTGCCTCGGTCAGAAAACATTTCTGGGGCTGGATTCACACCTCATTTCAGAGCACCTGGCCTCCTCCTCTATGTTCTAGAGGCTTCTGCCTCTGCAACGTGAGCTTTTAAGAACCTCCTCCATGCTTGGGGTAATGTTGGAGACCAGTGCTCTGCACCTCACCCCGGGCCTGTGTCACCCTGAGCAGGTGTGAACGTGGAGGGAGAATTAGTGTGGCCTGAAGAGGTAGTGTTGACTCAGATTTGGATGACCACACACTTCTGCGACCTTTGCCAGCTCATCTGATGTGCTGCAGCTAACAAGATACTGCAAGGAAAAGCCAAGGGCTCTAGATGGGAGACCAGGGGATGCCTGGCACTCTTCCTTCCACTTTATCTTATAAAAGCCTGTTCATAGGGCTCCTGGGTGGCTCGGTCAGTTAAGCGTCCAGCTCTTGGGTTTCAGCTCAGGTCATGATCTCACAGTTTTGTGGGTCCAAGCCCCACATTGGGCTCCATGCTGGCAGTGTAGAGCCTGCTTGGGATTCTTTCTCTCACTCTCTCTCTGCCCCTCCCCCACTCACACTGTCTCTGTCTCTCTCAAAATAAATAAACTTAAAAAAAAAAAAAAAGAGCCTGTTCATCATAGCAGGGCAGAATTAGTCACAGGGCCGGACAGCCTACGATTCCCTTGGAAAGTCTGGACTTTAAGGTGGGGAGTCGCCTCTGTGTCTCCGCTTCTCAGAGACGCTCTGACCTTGCGTCCTGCCTCCCTGCCAAGGCCAGACCTATGCCGGGCAGCGTGGGGTGCCTACCTTTTAGCAGATCCACAAACTGGAAGTCAAAGGGGATGTTGTTCTTCCTAGCGAAGATGTAGACAGCGCGGCAGGATGCTGACAGCAGGTCCAGATAGAGCTCCAGACCCATGCTGAGACACGTGTCGGGCACCCCCACCAGCCACAGCCAGCAGGCTCTGAACCTGAGCCTATATGCAGCCTGAGGCCCTGGGCCTGGCTCTGTGCCCATCGGCCCTCTCCAACCCAGGCCTAGGACCCCGCATTCTGGAACTTCTTGTTTCACTTGGTGTTGTCATGAGGCCAGGAAGCCCGGAATTCTCATAGCAGCAAGAATTCTCGGGAGACTCAGGAGTAGACAAGGAAGAGGACCCTGGCTCAGGGGCAGGAGGTGGGGGCCACCTGCAACTCTGCCCTTCCCCCTCCCTCTTGGCACATGTGTGTGCCCGTGGCCCATGTCGGAGAAGGACTTACACGCGGGAATTGTGAGGGCCAGAACTTTATTGTAGAATGTAACCCAAGGGCCTCTGCTGGGTCCAGAACGAGGATGGGGCAATAGGAAGTAACCATGGAGGGTTTCAGAAGCAAGGATTGGGGGTATGCATAGGTCAGTCTAGCCTGAACTATGGTTAGAAAAGTGTTGAGAGAAAGACAAACAGGATCCTAGGGAGCAGTCAGGGCACCGGGGACAATGCCACAGGAGTATCTAGGGTCAGCCAGTGAAGCTGTGCCACGGAGAGAATCCCAGAAACTTCCGGTCTGGCTTGGGACTGGCAGTGGCCAGTGGAGTTCAGCAGCTGGCAACTCAGGAAGGTAACTAGAAGCCCACGAGAGGCCTGAGTGCTGCTGCCTCTAGGCTGCATCATCTCGGGAGATCTCTTGTCCCTCCAGATTCTGCTCAGAAGCGGGGAGACCCCACTTGGTAAGGCAGAGGAAGCTGGAGACAAGTAGACGTCACACAGCATGTTTATTGTGGGTGGGAGAGTGCAGGGGAATGGGCTGGGCCACATCCCTCTCAACTGAGCTGCTCCTGCAGCCGATGCACCAGCTCCTGTGCCAGCCGGGGGTCCTGCTCCCGCGGCTGTAGCACAAGCTTGTGCGCATCTTGGACAAGCTCAGGGCCCAGGGCAGCCTCTACTCGGGCTCGCCAGGCTGCCAGCCGGGGCCAGTCTCGGAAGAGGTCGCAGCCAACAGCAGTGGGCTGGGGAGACAGGGTAGCCAGAGCAGGGGACTCAGACCAGTGCCCAGAGTGCCCCCAGAGGGCAAACAGGCAGGAGAAGCTTACCTGCATCAGCTCCGTGAATGCCATCAGATCTGCTAGGGAGACCTGCTCAGTAGCCAGGAAGGGTTTGGCCGCCAGGACCTCCTGATCCAGGGGCTGCAGGGCTGGTTTCAGCTTCCCCAACAGCCGGTCTAGGCGCATGGTGTCCACAGGCTGCCCCGAGAAGTGGGGCAGGAGGGACTGGGCCAGGGGGAATGGAGGCAGCTTATCCTGGTTTCCTCCAAACATCCTCAACCACCTCTCCACCCCTCCCTGGCCACCATCCATTAGTGATACCCCCTGGGGCACTGTATTCAGAAGGATTCTGAGGATTCATTTAGACTCGGGAAAGAATGCCATGATCAATTACAGATGTCTACCCGGGACAGTGGATAGAGGGCTGTATATGTGCCCGTGGGTCCTTTCCAGCACTGGGGGTTCTGACTGCTGCCCAAGCTTGCATAATAGGGCGGGAGGCTCACCTTACACAGGTAGACGTTGGTGGCAGGCAGCTGGATGGCCGTGTGCTGCCACGCCAGGTACTCGTGGACTCGGGCGCGGGCCTGCAGGTCAGGTGGATACCAGTATGGCGCCGTCTGGGACTTGCGGCTCAAGTATAAAAGAATGGCCACACTGCAAACAGGGGGTGTCAGAGAGTCCCCCACCCCTCAGGGCTAGGCAGCTTCATCTCTCACAGACAGGGTGGTTTGACTGGATTTCTGTCCAATGCCACCTCCGGGGGAGGGCAACCCCACTCCCACATCCCCACCACGGGCCATCTTTTCTCCACCAAACTGCTCCATTCCTCACGCGCTCCCCGTGGACCCATATTTCCACCTCCCCTCCCCCGACTACTAACCCAGCCAGCCCTCTGCCTCCAGACCCACCTCTCTGGCATCTGGGTCCTACTGAGCAGGAAGGAGGCAGACCTGCCATGGACATCCTGCCCAAGGGATCTCCAGTTCCCTCCCAGGCCAGTGCTCCCTAGCAGCCAGGGTCCGGGGGAGGGGATCGAGGAGAGCCCCTTTCTTGATCCTCCCTGGGCTCCTGGCACACAATTTCCAAATCAAATAATAAAAATGTAATGGCAACTAGAAAACATTTTATAGAAAAAGGTGGTGCCCAGTTTCCATTCTCAGGCAGGTCCTGGGAGGGGTTATATTACTACTCCATTTTACAGGGGAGAAACATGGGACACGAAGTTCTGTGGCCCCTCCGCGGCCGAGATGGAGGATATGGGGAACTGGGATTCAGAGCCCAATGCAAATCTGGGGCTGCCTAGCTCCTGGCTCCTGTGACTTGAAAGCCAGGTTCGGGACTTCCAGGGAGGGCTAACCTCAAGCTTGGATCTTCCCCAGCAGAGTCCAGGTTGTCCAGGCCTAACAGAGTGACCTTTGCCCAGCCCTCCATGCTGAAGCTACCAACCAGCTTTAGCCCCAAAGCAGCTCCTTGCCCCCAAGCTGGGTGAGCTAAAAGGAGGAAGAGGGGACCACAGCAGTCTGGAAAGATCTCCAAGTGTGGGACCATCAGCTTTCTGCCGTCCTCTCTCCACCTCCCCCAACCTCGAAGCCTCCACAGGCGCCAGGACCCCATTACCTCTCCGCCAACAGGAAGTCTCCATCCCTCAGGGCAGGCACCTTCCCCAGGGGGTTCACCTTCAAGAATTCAGGCTTCAGGTGCTCCCCTGGGGGATGCAGAGGATGGGTGGCTCAGCAAGATCTGGCTCCTGGATGCCACCCCCCATGTGGCCCAGCCTAGCCAAGACTCACCTCGTCCCAGCACCACAGGCCGAAACTCAAAGGGAATGCCATTCTTCTTGGCGAAAATGTAAATGGCACGGCAGGGGGGCGAGTACAGGTCCAGAAACAGCTCCAGCGGCATGCCTGCCCCGCCCAGTGTCCTCCCCTGCTCAACACTCTAGCCTGCTTCCGGGGAGGTTTGCTTGGCCCCTCCAAAATGGGACCCAAAGACGTCTGTTCCCCTCCCCCAAGCCTACTTCCTCTGAGCTACTAGCTCGGCGCCCTGGCAAGCCTCCCCACCTCCTGGGCTGTCGGTTGAGTGGAGGCAGGGTGGGCTGTTGAATATTTGTCGCTGGTTTTTCAAAGCAAGGTCCCCAGCCTGGCTCTCCTCCTGCTTCACTGGGTGTTACAAGCCCCTGGACACCCCCAGGTCCTGCCTCTTCCCTCTGGCTGGGCCACTCCCTGATCTTTGCTTCCTGGCAGCCGGGGAGGCTTTCACAACCTTTCTGTCGAAGTAGGAGTCTCCCTGGCAGAGGCGCACTATTGGTCTTTAAGGCCTTTTATGTTTTTCCTCCCACTGCACCTGTGCCTCACACACAGACTCACACAAACTCACACACAGAGTCCCACACATAGAGTCTCTCTCTCCTCTCTCTCTCTCTCTGTCACACACACACACACACACACACACACACACACACACACACGCTCATGCTCATACTCACATGCCCCCAGCCCAGGCCTCTCCTCTCTCCAGTCTGAGTAACTGTCCTGAAATCCTGACGTTGTAAAGGCATCTCTCTCTTGACTGTCCTCCTCCGGTGCCCCCCACCCCCTGGGGCTCAGACCAGCCCCTTGGAGTCTTCCCTCTCCTTACCCACACCTGTTCCCTCCGGCCTCACCAGCTTCCTCACCAGCCCTTCTACTTCCATCCCAGAGCCCGCTGTCCTGGTCCACACAGCACCCGAGGGGATTTCTCAAGTCCAAATCTAATCCCATGCTCCCAAGCGCCCTCAGCCCTGCAGTGCTCCCTCTCCCCACACTCCCCAACCTTGTCCATTTGCCTCTCAGCCTTCCTCTTGGACTGTCCTGTGCACTTCTCTTCTGTCAGAACCCAAGTCTTGAGACACTGAGGGTGAGGTTGTGGGGCAGGGCCTCCATGAACCCAGACAACAGCCATGGGTGGGTTGGGAGCTGGGGCCTGGCATCCACACTGGCCCTGGCCAGTGGGGTGACTCGGGGAGCAGGTAGCAAGCCAGAGTAGCCCCCTGAGAACTGAGCCATGGTCTCCCAGGAAGCTGCCCCCAGCCCCATTCTGGGACCTGAGGAGGTCAGAGCCACTGACCATGCAAGGGAACTCTAATGCCTTCCCCACTGCTTTCATAGGAACTGAAGTCTGCCAGGCAGGACTTTTAGGGACACATTGCACCCCTTACAAACACACATACTCACAGGACCTGTGGCTCGGGCAGAGCTGACCCCACCCTTAGTTTTAAGGCTAGTTCATGGCCCAGCCCAGCCAGTGAAGACCCTGTATCCCTTGACCACTCTGATTGGATCAGGCAGGGTCCTAGGGCTGTGATAGGAGTTCCTGGGAAGGAAGGACTGGGAACAGGCCCAAGGCTGACCCCTGCTGAAGTGCATTGTCATTCCCAAGGAGAGGCCGGGAAAGCGACTGTCTGCAGAAGGAACACAGCTGGCTCAGATTCTTCCCCCGTGGAGGAGGACAAGGGCTGGGCAGCCTCCAGGAGCCAGGCTGTCCAGAGCCAGCCATCCTGGAGCCCAGGCAGAAGGGATTGAAGCCAGGCAGGCCCAGCAAAGCCAGCAGCCATCCAGCAAGTCCATAGATGGGAGGCTGGGCTCAGACTTGGCATGTCCAGAGCCATCAGGGAGCCCTGGGTCCAACACCCTGGGACCTGTAACCCAACCCTGCACAGAAAACCCCAACTGGGTTTACCATATCGGATAGGGGTCACAGTCCTAAGGTGAAGGGGAGGAGCAAGAGAAGGGAGGAATAGACAGAGAGTAACCTGGAAGCAAGGTGGGGAGACAGAGATAGGGAGGGGGGCAGCAAGGGACTCTCATTCACTCATTCATTACTCATTTGCTCATTCATTCGCTCATCCAACAGAGACTCAGACAAACCAAAAGGCCAAGGATAGGTGACCAGAGAGGAGTCTTTCTTATATCTCCCAGCCTTCTAAGCGGACCTATGATGTAATCCTGGTGGGGCCCCTGGGAGGGATTGACCACCTGCCCCCTGGATCTTCAGGATGGGGCTGTGGCCCTGGCACAACCCTGTACCCAGGAAAGCCTCCATTAACTCCTGCTATGCCACCAGCCATGACCACTCTTCCCAGCACAACACCACCAAGCCCCACATGGGTCATAGGGCTCACAGACAGGTCAGTGCTGAGGCTTTGATTCTAGACTCCAATACAGGAAGACAGGGATAGCCATGCCACTGACCCCAAGGGCAGCCACAGGACCTGAGGAAAGCCAGGGAAGGATCCCACCATCTGTCAAACAGAGATTTTGGCCCCCCTGGCCCTCTAGGCAGGGTCAGTGGAGGGAGGCTGCCTGGCTGGTCTGAGCTCATGCCTGCACCAGCAGCTCCTTCAGCACCATAAAGTCAACCAGCGTCACCTGGGAACTTGAGATGAAAGCCCTGCCTCTCAGGAATTTGTCTGTCCCTGTTCCTACCCAGCTTCTCCCTGGGCACTTGCCTACAAACGAGCAGAACCAGCACGAGTCAGGTGAGTGGAGGGTGGGCTCAGTCTGCAGCCCCACCCTCCAGCACCTTGGCCTTGCCCACGCCTGTCACACTCCCTCATCACCCCTCTCACCTGGGTCCACACAGGCATGCCCAGGGGGTGTCCTGGACACAGTCGTCATGCCAGCTCGGGCACTCATTCATGCGGGCATGGGCCTACAAGTGAGATGGCATCAGGGGGCTGCTGTCTGGTATTTGCAGGCAGGGTGGGGGCAGTGGCCTTGAGGACCCTGGTACCTAGCCATTCCCACCTCCCTCAAAAACTTGCAGGCCTCTGGCAGAAGAAGTCTCTGCCATTGATAGATTCCCCCTTCATCCTGTTCTCCACCCAGCTCTCTCTACCCCACTCCACCACCAGCAGTCAGGCC